TTGCAAAATCTCTCTGAAATTTGTAAAAATGGGCATAACTTTTGCATACTAACTCGGATGAAAAAGTTTTTTATATGAAAAATCATCTACTCGAAAAGTTACATCCAAATTTAACGGGGGGAACCCCGTTAAACATTTTCAAAATCCTCAAAAACCTAATAGAAAAAAAGTTACGGGGCTTTTAAGATTTAGAGTGGAAAAAATTGAAAAATATTCAAACAGTGGGCAAACTATGGTCAAACAATGGTCAAACTAATTATTCTAGAATATTAGTGTTACTAAATAATTATTTTAATTTTTTCAATTTTGGTCAAATCTGGTCAAACTGTGGTCAACTGTGGTCAAACTGTGGTCAAACAATGGTCAAACTAATTATTCAAGAAATATTAGTGTTACTAAATAATTATTGTTTTTTAAAACAATAGTTTCAAACTCAAACAGTGAAATGTGTCACTTCATGCTCAAGCAAAATTCCTAAAGGTTAATAGGATTGACATCTTACTATTGTCAGGAAAACAACAAGTGCAGACTTGGAGCGTGGGAGAATAGAACCCGGAAGTTAAGCGTGCTTGGGCTAGAGTAGTGAGAGGGATGGGTGACCGGTCGGGAAGTTAGATGATTTGGAATGATGAGGGGTGATTAAAGGATAAATTGAGAAGTGATGAGGGGTGGTGATTACAGACTAGAGGTTAAAATAATTCAGAAATTTAAAAATAAAAAAATTTCAAAAAAAAATTTCAAAAAAAAAATCATAAAATTTCCTTTAGTCCCGTGGCCGCGCCCTTTAGTCCCGGTTCTGGATTGAACCGGGACTAAAGGGGGGAGGTATTAGTACCGACACTTTAGTCCCGGTTCCTAGTCCCGGTTTTGGATTGAACCGGGACTAAAGGGGGGAGGTATTAGTACCGAACCGGGACTGTAGGCCCTTTTTCTACCAGTGTCTAAGGATTCGGATCCAAAGCGTTGGGCCGACATGAGAAAAATGCTGCAAAAGTAATTATTTTCAATCATTTGAGCTCTATATCGATCGGTCTCTTCATTTCCTAATATCAACTAACTAATAAATACCTTATTCATTTAATTTTCTTTGCCCTGTAGGGTTTGGAGACGGTTCTCAGAAGAAACTGTCGGTGAATTCAAACATGAGCTAGATTTCAGAAAGTTAGTTAATGTGGATGAGCAGCCATCGGGGACCGATCTATGTGGATACTATGTTTGTGAGAACATCCGGAGACAAACCACTGAGCGGAAGGCATCAGCTAGCGTGCGGAACGCGACGAATAACTTGCGGAGGAGGCTTAGTCCAGAAGCTCGCTTCCGACCAATTCAAGAAGAATTAGCAGGATTTTTCATGAGGGAAGTCATCAATCCTAAAGGACAACACTATACCGAGGACGAAGAAATTTATATGCATACCCGAGATTGAAACTTGTTCGAAGTTGTATATGGTCATCCATCCTAATTGTGTATGGAAACTTGTTCGAAGTTGTATATGGTCACCCGAGATTGAATATATATTATATATTCCTCTTGAATTCTTCTTGTTTGAAATTTCATATGCATGTATATAGAAGCGTAGAATATGTGTACTGAAACTTCATCAAAAATAAAATAAAACACAAAATAAAATATAAAACAAATAAAACACTACAAATTAAAAAGAAACCAGGTTTAGGGGGGCTAAAACCCTAAACCTGCGGAGGAGGCCTTTAGTCCCGGTTGGCCACGAGAGCCGGGACTAAAGGTCCTCGGCCCCGACGGACCACGGGCGCCCACGTGGCGGGCCTTTGGTCCCGGTCAGCCACAAGAACCGGGACTAAAGACTTTTGTCGCGGTCCGTAAGAGCCGCGGCTAAAGGGGGGGGGGTCTTTAGTCGCGCTTATTTAGTCCCGGTTGCACAACCGGGACTAAAGGCTGTTGCGAACCGGGACTAAAGGGCTTTTTTCTACAAGTGAAAATTATGAACAACTTGTGTAATTTTGTGGGCAATTGTCTGATCCGTCCTCTATGAAATTCTCATCACCCCGTATGCAACTTCTCATCTATCCCCACTTTCTCAACTAGCCAACACCTGCGAACTGGCTAGCCAACACACACGCTGAAGGTTGAATGCAAAATATGCATAATATATGTTGAACGCAAGTTGCTTCTTTAGCATTGAAGGTTGCCTCCATGTAATTTTAAAGTTGCCTACTAATGATGCTCAGTTGCCTACATACGATGAAAATTTGTTCCACATGATTTTTATGTAGTCTATGATATACTTAATAGGTAAATTCACTAGTACACATGATGCAAGGAAGTTGCTTCTGTTTAGTACTTAAATTGCCTCGATTAGAACCAAAGTTGCTTTAAAAAAATCATCGAAACATATATATATATATATATATATATATGGGATCTAGTTTTAAAAATCTCGTCGCAAGAAACCAAATGGTGAAAACGGATTTTCATTTTGACACTCGGTTCAAAGGTTATAGCTTTTAAAAAAAATTTGAGACGAAATAGGCATCAACACATGCATGCAGGTAATCTTTAGTGACCATCCACCACCTGACAACGCCAGGTACATAGCGAGGAGGAAGGAGACTTTTTTCTTAGCAGTTTTGTCGTGTAGCAAGTGGGCATATATCGGACAGCTCGCATATGCGCTCGCAACGTCCATCCGGCACAGCTGCGCGATTAAGAATTCAGGCAAAAAAAATGTTGTACACTGTGAGTTGGCCCTCACTCGGGCCTTTGGTTCTTATACGTTGTTAAGGTTTTTCATGGTGATGACCCGATGTGGTATATTTTTGCCAAAATGAATTTTTGATTGAACATGCTCCTTTTGTAATACCACTTTGGCCCGACTGTCTAGATAATCTGAATGTGTACGTCCTCATGAGCGGAATTTCCTATTTGACGCATGATGCGTCAAGGTGTGGAGGCTTGGCACAGAAGAGATCGAGCGATTTGTTCAACTGGGCCAGCCCGTTTAAGGGCTTCATCGTCCCCGGTTTTGGGAACCTTCTAAAGGTTCTCAGCTGGTTTTTTTTTTCTGGTTTTGGGAAACTTCTAGAAGGTTCCTGAATCGTTTTTTTTCTTGTTCTGTATTTTTTCCTTTTTTACATTTTCCTGTTTTTTCTTCTTTTCTCTCCTTTTCCTTTTTCTTTCTTTTTGTTTTGTTTCTATTTCGTTTTTTGTTTTCTTTCCTTTCATTTTATTTTTATTTCTTCAATTTTATTTTTACTTATTTTTAAAATCGTTGTGTTTTTTGTTTTGTTCATAAATCTGAAAAATTTCCAAGATTTTCAAAAAAATGATTGTGCTTTTCATAAAAATGTTCATAATTTCAAAAAATGTTCACATTATAAACAATTGTTCACAATTTTACAAAATGTTAATGGACTTGTTCTCAATTTTCAAAAATTGTCCTTGTTTAAAAAATGTTCATGTTTCAAAAATTGTTCGTGGTTTTCAAAACATGTTCATTTATAAAAAATTGTTTGCTATGTTATTCTTTAAAATGTTTACAACCTTTTAGTAAATTGTTCAGAATGTCGACAAATGTTCGTGCTCTCAAAAATATTCACAATTTGTTTTTAAAAATTGTTTGGTATGTTTTTCTTAAAAATGTTTACAACTTTTCAAAAATTGTTCGGAATTTTGAAAAATGTTCATGCTTTCAAAAATATTCACATATTGTTTAAAAAATGTTCTTGTTTCCATCTTTGCAGGTGTTCCATAAATTGTTCGCAAATGTATAAAAATGTTTATGTTTTCAAATTTTGTTTTTCATTTTAAAAATTATTCAGAAGTTTATTTAAAAATTATTTGGAACTTAAATTGTTCCCATTTTAAAAAATTGTTTATAAATTTCTTAAAATGTTGAAGTTTCCATTTTTTTGAGTTTCAGAAAATGTTCGCTTTTCCAAATTTTGTTTTGGAATTACAAAATATGTTCCCATTTCATAAAACTGTTCACGATTTTCAGAAAATATTTTTTAGCATTTATGATTGTAGCTGCTTAGAAAAAATTTGCTTTTGTAATTTCAGAAATTCTTCAAATCTGTGCTGGACTTTGGTTCTTAATAGTTGGTGTTGTGAAATAATCACCGATGCTCACTAGCTCAGTTGGTTGTATCGCCTTCTCTCCACTACGGAATAGTGCACATTTTTTTGGAGCCACTCGGTACGGTCGAAAAAACCCGGCCCACAAAGCCCGCAAACTGAGACGCTCTGTGCGAAGCCCCAGCATTTTGACGCAAAGAGCGTCGTATAGGACTTCCCCTCATGAGCCTGTATGTGTACATGAGGTTGAACTTTTGTGTTCGGAATAAAATTCACAATGAAATCTGAGCGTGTATAGCTAGCGCAACAAAGTTATATACAAAGCTAGCTAGCATATTGTACTTAGCATTACGCAAATCAGCTAAACATGAAGATGCGGACGTCCGCATCTGCCCGCCAGCCATAGCAAGCAGTCAAAACTTGCGGACGCGTCCGCAGTGTACACCTCTTGTCTGGTGCGACGCGGCACAATGTCTCCACTCATTTAAACGTGATCACTGTTGAAAGAAAAGAAGAACAAAAATTCAGTACACAAATAATTTGACTACACCACTACAACTTAAGTTCAAGTTTAGCTAGCACAAAGATAGGAGCTAATGGGTTCTGCGCTACAAAAAATCTGAATTCTCAAGTGTCATGTCTGAGGCCGAGACACTTCTCAAGACAATTCTCAAGACGGTCAATAGTCCTGCTAAGCTCTTTTCCGACACCAGGTACGTTGGCCAAACTACAAATAAAAGTGAGGAAGTTAGCAACAGTTCACAGTACAATAGTTTCAGAAAACTAACACTTGACCTGTGCATTGTGTCATTGCCGAACACACAACTTATTGGCTATGCTAACATTTGAACTTTCGCCATAGTTATGAAGAACATCCAGAGAATTGATATTTGCCAAACTTCATAATGAGTATGAGGAGCATCCACAGAATATATTGACAACAAAAATCAAAAGAAAGAAGTTTCTTGGGGCACATCCAACATAACAAAACCATGGAGCAGATTTAGGTTCTTTAACTTAGACAACAATATCATAACAGAGAAGGTCGCCCAAGCAAAGGTCGTTCCTGCTACCATTGCAAGTGCAGTTGCATAACCTGTGGATTGCAGATAATTAGATCAGGACAAGCAACATTCTAATGCTCCCTTACAAGAATTCAATACAGTTCATGCATTCTGATGATCAGATCACATCAAGACACCAAAAAGATTTAGGAGAATACTGGGGAAAAAATCCATTTTGAGAAGAAAGACTCTCAGAACAAAGTACTAAACCGTATAGTATTTTGAAACATGGAAAATTATAGTTTAACCAAGTCCAGCTAGGTTTACATGATGGTTCCAAATGAATAACAATCACCATTATTAACACGAAAATGAACACCCAAAAAAAACAGTTTATTTGAATACAACATACATATGCAAACACCAGCTCTATTTGGATTGAATGTAATTTTGTGTGCTCCCCGTTATTTAGAGCTCAACATAACAACACACACTAATATATATGGATTCCTTACCAAATCATAAACTGGTTTAAATTTCCAGTTGACGAATCTCCCGTTACTTAAATTTCCATTTGATGAAGCAACGACACAAAAAAAAGATCCGTAAAATCTGCTACTCCTCGAACATACACTAAAATTGGTGGCACAAAAGAAAAGTCATCAGGCAGGATGCAAGTAGGATAAAAATGAAATATGGCCAGAGATAACTAGCTTATGCAAGGAGCATAAGGCAAACCTGCAATCTGCATCGATTTAGAGAAGGGCTGGCCGAGACTTGGGCCAGTTAGGGCTTTAGCAGAGGGGCGGAGCACTGACTCGGTAAGGCCATTATTTCGTGTATATTAAGAGAAGATAATTATCAGAAGAGTATTAGAATAACTAATCGCTAGCCAGTGCATCCACACATCAACACATGTTATCCAGTGTATATCCAGCGAGATGTCATGGAACGAGCATATTCGTGCGAGGCAAAGCAAACCTGGAATCTGTATCGTGTTAATGCAAGGGTTAACCGAGACTTGGGCCAGTTGGGGCTTCAGCAGAGGCGTGTAGCACTGTAAGGCCATGGTTGCGACTTGCGAGTATATTCAGAAAACCTGTCAATTCAAGATGATTAGATCAACTAGTCGAAACAAGCGCACCCACACATTCCAAAGTAGTAAATTTTGTCATGATAATTGAGTATCATATTCTGAACTTGACATTCAGGATTTGAACGAGCTACAGTTACTCCACAGCCCCTGTTACCTAAACTTAACACTTGAGGGTTCAGCTTTTAAAACTGAACTTGACACTTGACAATCATGACTGAATACCATGCATAACACTGAATGATTAACCGGCTTTCTTAGCTCGCACTGCACACACACTTGTGCTTTTTGTTCACCAGTATTGCCGTGTTCAACAAGTTCGCGGCAATAGGAATAGCCTCATACCATACGTATAGTCATGAATTGATCTGAAAGTAGCCCTCCAATATCTTTACCTACTAGTCTATTAATTGTGATTCGATTAGATGGTGGCTGCTTACTCCAATCATCTCTGAAATAAGTACACGCTAACACTGACACTGCTTGTGCATTGCTGCCATTGTATGCAAATTAGTTGTCTTAACTAGTAAAGTAATTTCTCTCTCCGACTTATGCTTTTTTTTTACTTTGAGAAAGGCACAACATAAGAAAACGTGAGATGGATTCCTATTAACCAGTGAAGTACATTTTCTTTGCTCTTAACCAAAACTTTTCTATTATTGATTCTCAGGGAAGTTAATCCTACTGTAAGCCTAAATGCTGTAATTCATGAGCAACCCCAATGGACTCAGATAAATCAAGGATGTAGCAATAAAAGACCTGAAGGAAATGGAGCATATTAAAATCCATAGTTCTGGTAAAAGGATGCCCTTCCCACACAGCAGGTCAGTAGCCAGGCAAGCTCATAAAGTCATAATTCATATGATAAATTCAGAGATGCCACTTGCCATCATTCAGTATGGCTATGATGAGAACCATGAATAATGCCAGAAGAACAAACCTGCAACCATAAAAGACAGCAAGATTAGCGGTGGCGAAATACTGTCATGACTACCTACTATTGGATTTGCTGCTGCATTGGAATACTGTCATGATTATGTACTATTGGATTTGCTGCTGCATTCTTACCACTTCCGCATGGTGATGCAAACGGCATAAGTTTGCAGCCAAGTAGTACAAATCGTCAGAACTCTTGTAGTAGAAGAAAACAGAGGAACGTCAGCTGAACTTTACCATGTAGTTCATCATGCAGAGGCCAACACGATGTCGATGCGGACCTGGCAGCGTCCGTCGTGCCCGACAGCGCGTTGCCGCAGGTGCCAAATAAAATCCCAACAAAGACGATGAACATTAATGATTGCAGGAAATGCATAGAAAATCCATAGTTTTGATATATAACTATATAAGACAAGGTTATTTTTTGCATACAACTGTATCTTATTGCATAGCAAAACTTTTCTATTATTAATTCTGAAGGAATTTATTTACCCTAACATCTTAATATTTCAAGGTTTTAACAAAAGAACATATAGTTTAGGAATGAACGGACTACATGAGTATGAGAAAACATGTATACCCTTTATTACATGTTGATAAACTTCATTATCAGTTGTTTGACTTTAACAAACAGCAAGATAAGGAACCTTGGTTGATCAAAGATCCATTTATGCACCAAGATAATAATACCATGCTCATCTATTAGACCTAAAATCTCATAGTCCACCAAACATCTTTGACAATCTTCTCAAGACATAATCACCTAACTAAATCCAACTAAAATCTCATAAATCACAGAGAAATTTGGTTCAATATCACATCCACCTAACCAAATCCAAATTGTTCAAGATTATTTAATACACCGGACATCTTTGACTATCTCCTCAAGATCACAATCAACTAACTAATCCATTAAAAATCTCATAATCCAACATAAAATTTGGTTCAAAATCACAATCGCCTAACTAAATCCGAAAAAATTCAAGTTTATTAAAAAAAATTATCCACCAATATAATAACCAACAAGCTCACTTACTAGATATAAATTCGCATAATCTACCGAACATCTTTTACCAGCTCGTCAAGATCGCAATCACCTAACTAAAATCCAACCAAAACCTCATAATCCACCGTAAAATTTGGTCAAAAGATCACAATCACCTAACTAAATCCAAATTGTTGCAAACTAAATTAAATATCTGTTCATCCATCAATATAGTAATCACCATGCTCATCTACTAAACCTAAATCTCATAATCCACAAAATATCTTTGATTATCATCTCAAAATACAATCACCTAACTAAATCCAACTAAAATCTCATAAATCACGAAGAAATTTGGTTCAATATCGCAATCATCTAACTAAATTCTAATTATTCAAGATTAATTAATCCACCGAACATCTTTGACATCTTCCCAAGATCACAATCTACTAACTAAATCTATCGAAAATCTCGTAATCCACCGTGAAATTTGTTCAAGATCACAATCGCCTAACTACACCCAAATTGCTCCATGTTTACTAAAGGCCCATTTATCCACCGATCTAATAACCACCATGCTCACTTAATTACTAGACCTAAATTAACATAATTCACCAAACATCTTTGCCTAACTCGTCGAGATCACAGTCACCTAACTAAATCAACAAAACCTCAAAATCTACAGTAAAATTGGTTGAAAAATAGCAATCACCTAACTAAATCAAAACTGTCCCAAACTAAATTAAAGATATGTTTATCCACCAATGTAATAATCACCATTCTCTTCTACTAAACATAAAATCTCATAGTCCAGCAAACATCTTTCACTATATTCTTAAGACACAATCATCTAACTAAATCCACCTAAAATCTCATAATCCAGCGTGAAATTCGGTTGAGTATCACAACCACCTACTAAATCCAAAGTGTTCAAGATTAATTAATCCGCCAAACATCTTGACTATCTTCTCAAGATCACAATCAACTAATCCATCAAAAATCTCTTAATCCACCATAAAATTTGGTTCAAGGTCACAATCACCTAACAAAATCCAAATTGTTCTAAATGTGTTAACGATACATTTATGCACCAATATAATAATCAACATGCCCACCTACTAGACCTAAATTCACATAATTCACCAAACATCTTTTACTAGTTCGTCAAAATCACAATCACCTAACTAAATCCAACCAGAACGTTATAATCCACCGTAAAATTAGGTTAAAAGATCACAATCACCTGACTAAATTCAAATTGTTCCAAAATAAATTAAATATCTGTTTATCCACCAATATAATAATATGCTCATCTACTAAACCTAAAATCTCATAATCCACAAACACCTTTGATTATCATCTCAAGACACGATCACCTAACTAAATCCAACTAAAATCTCATAAATCACATAGAACTTTGGTTCAATGACACAATCACCCAACTAAATTCATATTGTTCAAGATTAATTAATACACCGAACATCTTTAACTATTTCCTCGGGATCACAATCAACTAAATCCATTGAAAAATCTTGTAACTCACCATGAAATTTCTTCAAGATAACAATCGCCTAACTAAATCCAAATTGCACCATGTTTATTAAAGAAGTCACTACTTCCTTGAGATTGAGGTTTCTTCTTCTACCTCTAATGGCTTCTTTATTTCCTAAGAGGAGTATCCAGGATCTTCTTGCTCGTGCTGCTCTTACTGATGAGCACACTGTTGAGACTGCTATGGAGCTCAACATCCACCTTTGTGTCCACCTTCGCTCCCTGTAAGTCCGGATGGGCGTCCGTTGCCTGGTGGCGGGTTGCCATGTGTGCTATCTTGATCCCACGTCCCGTGTTCCCTTGCTGGGCGACACCATAACCGCACGCTCAAGCACCACCAATGGCGAGCAAGAGCTTAGACAATCGACGCATACCTGAATTTTACCCACGGGACGTGCCCGAAAACACGGCGCTACCTATCGTCAAGGCCAAGGGCACACATTAGGAGAACGTGGGATGCTTAATCAACATGCTTACCTACTATACCTAAATTCACTTAGTCCATCGAACATCTTTTACTAGCTCGTCAAAATCACAATCACCTAACTAAATCCAACACAAACCTTATAATCCACTTTAAATTAGGTTAAAATATCACAATCACCTAACCAAATCCAATCCAAACCTTATAATCCACTATAAATTAGGTTAAAATATCACAATCACCGATCTAAATCCAAATTGTTCCAAACTAAATTAAATATGTTTATCCACCAATATAATAATCACCATGCTCATTTATTAGATATAAAATCTAATAATCCACCAAACATCTTCGATTATCTTCTCAAGACACAATCACCTAACTAAATCCAACTAAAATCTCATAAATCACAAAAAAAATTCAATATCACAATCACCTAACCATATCCAAATTGATCAAGATTAATTAATACATCGAGCATCTTTGACCATCTCCTCAACATCACAATCAACTAACTAATACATCAAAAATCTGATAATCCACCATAAAATTTGATTCAAGATCACAATCGCCTAACTAAATCCAATTTTTTCAAGCTCACTTAAAATCCATTTATCCACCAATATAATAACCAAGATGCTCACCTACCAGACCTAAGTTCACATAATCTACCAAACATCTTTTACTAGCTCGTCAAGATCCCAATCACCTAACTAAATCTAACCAAAACCTCATAATTCCTCATAAAATTTGATTAAAAGATCACAATAACCTACCTAATTCCAAACTGATCCAAACTAAATAAAATATATGTTTATCTACCAATATATTAATCACCATGTTCATTTACCATACCTAAAATCTCATAATATACTGAATATTTTGACTATCTTCCCAAGATACAATCACCTAACTGAATCCAAACTACAATCAAATAAATCACCGAGAAATTTGGTTCAATAACTCAAGCACCGAACTAAATCCAAATTGTTCGCGTCGACTACAAGACGTCTACGGTAACTTCGTAAAATATCAAGATGATATGCCATCTCAGTCTCTCAAAGGTGCTCATAGGGGTAG